AGAGAGAGAGAGAGAGAGAGAGAGAGAGAGAGAGAGAGAGAGAGAGACCGAGAGCGCACTGAACCAGGCGAGGATGCCCACATGGAAACAACATCTCCAGTAGATCCTGGGAGGTTCAGGAACTCTGAAGACGCATCTTAAGAAATAATAAACCAACTGCAGCTGCCCTAGACCTGAGGCAACTAGAAAAGTGTCACATGAAAACTGTTGGCAGAATTCCAAGGCTATCCTCAAGATGGCTTTGCTGGCTATCTTTATGTCAACCTGACACAATCTAGAGCCAATTTGGAAGAGAGACGCCCTACTCAGAAAAATGCCTTTCTGATTGGCCTGTAGGCCAAACTGTTAATGCAGTTTTTTTGTTTTGTTTTGTTTGTTTGTCTGTTTGTTTTTGTTTGGTGACTGATGTGGGTGACTCCAGCTCACCGTGGGCAGTGCCATGTCCATCACTGCCACATCAAGCAAGCCAGTCAGCAGCATTCTTCCACAGCTCTCCTTAAATCCCTACCTTTGCATTCCTTCCTGAGTTCCTGCCCTGATTTCCCTCAGTGATACAGAGTTGTGAGGTGAAATAAATGCTTTCCTCTCCTAGTTGCTTCTGGTCATAGTGTTTTATCACAGCACTAATGACCTTAACTGACATAAGCAATATTCCCGGTACACATGTCCTGAACAATCCTCCTCACTTGTGTGTGAACTTGACAATGTGGCCAGAACTCTCTCCCCAGATGATATGCCTGGTCAGCTAACTGGGTGAACAAGACCTAATCACTTCAGTGATTAGAAGAGTAGGGTCCTTACTGAATGGACAGCTTCCTATCTGGTGTGAAAGAAACTACAACTTCAGTGTTAAGTGGCCTTGGAGGAGCCCCTGTGTTGAATGAAGACCTGAGGGCAGGAGGAATGGAAGTCAAGTCCTGCAGTAAGGACAGGGGAACTGACTTACGACCACAGTTGGAGTTCTTGGAAACAGATCCTGAATCTCAGCTGATCAAAATCTAGCTAGAAAAGATTGAGAGCTAGCTATAAACACACTTAGATTTATAACCCAGGAAAGTGTTCATAAAAAAACCCGTGTTGCTTTCTGCCATTAAATTTGTGCTGGTGTGGGTATGTACCAATAGGAAGCCGATGGAGCCTGACCATAGAACTCAAAGGTGCTAAGGTAGTTTGGTGAATGAAAATGCCATCATGGTTTTGACCAATGGAGTTTCTTAATGAACAGTACCCTAGTTTTGAATTAATTGGCCACTAAATAAGAAGTATCACATAAGTTAACAATATGGTGAAAAGAGAAGATTAATTGAAGAATGTGTTTGGAAACCCACTGAAATCAATTCCATTGCGAGGTGGCCAGGAACCGTCATAGGCTTGTGAAAGGGTTTCTGGGGAAGATCCTGGCCTGGTCTCCTCATATTGATGTCTGCTCCAGGCTTTCCTTCTCCCCCTCAGGAAAGGATAGCAGAGAACCAGGTTTCCCCACGGGCTTGGACTCCCTCCCACAGGACTCCAGGACCAAAAATAACACTCAACACAAAGCACATCATCCTCCAGCGGACTTTTCCTCACAACGACCACACTCATCAGTTTCATTCATATGAACAAATGCAGAAATCATTCCCAAAGAGTCTTCTTTCTTACATGTGAAAACAGAAGCATATTATCTAAATTCTTATAATTGTTATATTCTTGTTCATTAAAAAAATATACTTAAACTGGGCATGGCGGAGCATGGCTTTAGTCTCAGCACTCAGGAGGCAAAGGCAGGCAGATATCTGAGTTCAAAGCTAGCCTGGACTACAGAGTAAATTCCAAGACAACCAGAATTACATAGAGAAGCTCCATTAAAAAAAAAAAAACATTGACAATAACAAAAACACTACACTCTTCATTTTTACTTTAGTGTTGAGAATTGTGAGTTCTTATAATTACGCAATAACAGTAGAACACGTAACAACTTACCTTGTAACTTTTTAGCCTGATGAAGTCAACCTTCATAGAGACAAACCGATCTGAATTTCGGCTGATGTTCTTGAGGTGTTCTACAAGATCAGCACAGAACTTGTAACCTCCTTTCAGTACACACAGGACCAGAATATCATGGTAGCCTATGTCTTTCATTATATCCTTAGCCAGCCGTTCAATTCTGAAAGACGTAAGAAATAAACGATACACTAATGTACAATTAATACACACGATGTTCTATACAGATTAGATCATTTGAGTGAACATGGAGAGAAGTTTGGAAAACAGAATGAGTCAGTCAGAAAAGTTCTGTTAAAGTGGAACCAAAGTGTGGATAACATACTTATAGAGGTGACATCATAGCTCCTATATGTCATAAACAGTGTTAGAGATCATATATAATATTTATTTTCTTTTTTTTTTTTCTTTCTTCGAGACAGGGTTTCTCTGTGTAGCCCTGGCTGTCCTGGAACTCACTCTGTAGACCAGGCTAGCCTCAAACTCTCGAACTCAGAAATCCACCTGCCTCTGCCTCCCAAGTGCTGGGATTAAAGGCGTGCGCCACCACCGCCCGGCCTAATATTTATTTTCTATCATTACAACACCTATTGTTAAACTTTAAAAGGTTTTGATGGTATTAACTGAAAGTCTCATTTTATAGCAAAGAAAGAGGAAATAGAAGGCTGGTTTTGTTGTTGTTGTTTCTTTTTTGTCAGCTTGACAACCAGACTTGTGTGGGAAGAGGGCATTGAGATGATGCCCCCGTAAGATTTGCTTGTGGGGAAGTCTGTGGGGTATGGTTTTGATTACTGATTGATGTAGGAGGACCCCAATCACTGTGGGTGGGGCCATCCTTTGCATAGATTGTCCTGGGTTGTATAAGAAAGCAAGCGGTCCTCTACAGCTTCTGCTTCAGTTCCTGTTTCTAAGTTCCCACCTTGCTTGAGTTTCTGTCCTGTTTTCCCCCCAGTGATGGACTGTTGTTACTTAAAACTGTAAGATGAAGTAAATCCTTTCCTCTCCAAGTTGCTTTTGGTTCTGGTGTTTTATCAAAGCAACAGAAACCGTAAGATAGAGAGTGATGTATTCCCCTTACACTGGAAGAAAAGTCAAGTTCAGAATAACTAAAAAAAAAAAAAAAAACCCATATAGTCACCAAAGGCAGCACACCACAGTACAATGGGAAGAGGTAGCCACACAGTGTGGAATCCAATGTGGAGGAGGATGCTTCCTGGAGTCAATGAACAGCAATGGCCTGCCTCTGCCTTTGCTCTGGCACTATCTTCACAGTTTTCGACATATTCTATAGGTACAAGTGTGCACTACTCCCCACACAAAACCAAAACCTTGAATAGAAGCAGGATCTCAAAAGTGTACCTTAGAAAGAAAATCCCTGTGAGCATTCAAAATTGGATTTGATTAAAATAGACAAACTGAATTATGTATTTATATATAATTTTATCATGTCTACACTCTACATATATAACATAGTTCTATATACTCTATACATTCATATCTATTTGAACACTCTCTAAGTGTTCATATATATGCACAAATAGGATGTTAGCTGTGTTTTCAGGTAGTATTTGTCTAAATACGATCACCCAAAGATTGCACATCAGAATATCTGGCATGCTTTTACAAAGATGCATTGAATTCATAAATTTTTCATTACATTTATTTATTTAGTGTATGTGCACATGTGTACATACATACATACATACATACATATATTCACATATACACACATACATATATACACATATACATACATACATACATACATACATACATACCACAGTGTGTGTTTGTGTGTGTGTGTGTGTGTATGTATGAGTGTGTACGATCACATGTGTGTGTATACATGGATGTGCATGTGTATGTGGGGGGCTATTTACATGAATATATATGGAAGTGCATGTACACATGAAGGCCAGAAGTCAACTTAGTATATCATCTTTTGGGGAACTGTCCATTATATTTTTGAGACAGGTTCTCAGTGGGTCTTGGAGCTTACCAATTAGGATAAGCTGGCTGTCCTGCAAGCCCAGGATCTGCCTGTCTGTCTCCCCAGAGCTAGGATTACAGGCCCAGGTTACCTCATCAGTTTTTTCACCTTGGTTCTGGGATCAAACTCAGGTCTGCTTCACTTTACCAACTGCACATCTCCATCTCCCCCATCCCACTTTAAACATAAAGACTCAGATTAAAGTGGAAGGACCATGAAGGACACACCATGCTTGTGCCAATGAAAAGGAAGATGAAGACACCATCTTTCAGTCAGGATGTGAGATCAGAGTCAGTGATCTCTGTCAGCTCCTGAAGAAAGCTTGACTATCCTAGCGTATGTTTCCCTAGGGATTCCAGAAGACTGACAGAACAGCAAGAGGAAAGAGACATCACTGCACTTAGAGACTCCCTCTACCAGGCATGGGCAGACCCAGCAGTTAGGATAAAGGATAAAGTTGAACAATCCATCAATAAACTGGACCTAGCTGATATTTTTAGAACACTCCACCAAACAACAGAATATACATTCTCAAAATATTCCAATGAAAATGACTAAACTGGAAATATATATGAAAACCATAATATGATAAAAATTTGTATCTAATATATAAGTTATATATACTATCTAATATATATCATATGTATGTGTGTGTATGTGTGTGTGTGTCTCTCCCTCTGTGTGTGTGTGTGTTTTCCAAGACATGTTTTCACTGTATAGCCCTGGCTGTCTTAGAACTCACTTTGTAAACCAGGTCAGCCTCGAACTCATAAAGATCTGTCTGCCTCTGCTGGAGTTAAAGGCATCCATCACCACTGCCTGGCTTATGCATTTAGACAATTCAAATGGTTATATTTACACAATATATGCAATTATAATTATAGTGATATATATATATATCCCTTTTATGACTCAACAAGAAGACAAACAACCAAATAAAAAATTGGCAAAAGGCTTGGATAGAGACCTTTTACCCCCATAGGAAAAGAATTCGAGTAGCTGATAAGCACACTAATGATTCAGGAAGTATAAGTTTAAATCACAGGGAGATATTATACATATACTAGAATGACTTTGACCCAAAGGACAGACAATACTAAATGTCAGCAGGTATGTGAAAACAACAGAGTCCTGCTGAACTACCAGTGAGGCTGGGAACATCACAGCCACTTTGGAAAACAACCTACAGTTGTTGAAACTCACCAGGAAGCCCAGAATTTCACCCCAAAGGCTTAATCTAGGAAAAACAAAAACGATATCTCCATACTAAGAATTGTACCTGTACTGTTTACAAATCCAAATCAGAAGTTCAAAGGTTCGCTGGCTGCTGAACCAATGATTAGATGTGTTATGACTTAATTTCCATGACACATCAAGAGAATTTCCAAGGAAAGAAACCTGATTAGTAACTTCCTGTCAGTAGATTAATGACAGAACTGTGGAGATGGGTCCAAGCGTAAAAATGTACTGAAATCATAGATTCATTCCCCATGTAAAGTAGGTGTAATGTTTGTTTTAAAGCTGAGGGCTGAATTCCGGGGCCCTTCCTGGACCACTTATGGAGGAATGTTAAACATAAAGATAACAAGACACACCCTAACATGTTCACTAGGCACTACCACTGTGTGGGAAAGGGCTACGATCCTTTTACCCAGACTTGCTTATGCTTTCAATCAGGGCACAATGAAATAAAATCATAAAATTCAAGTGAGAAAAGCAAGAATTCGTTTATACACAGGGCTTCCCAAACTGTTATTAAGGGAAATTGCTTATGAGATGTATGGAAAGTGAATACATAAAATTTCTTTTTGCACAGATAAAATTGATATAATTGTCTAAGTCAAGAGTCTTTATTATAATTTTGGGGGGCAAAAATTCCCAGTCTGTAAAATTCTAATGAGGTTCTGCACTTTGGAAAACTGCAAAATTTCCCAATGTATTGGATGGAATTTCTATCCCTTTTAAGGATCAAATGTGCTTGCCATGGGAAATCCATCTTCTTCCATGATAGACTCCAAACTAGAACTTATCTTTGTGATACACTGTGAATGGAGATGATAAACAACACACAAGTCTCAGGCAATAGAAATATTACACAATCTGGAATGTGTATGAATGACAAATCCATTTTCCTACTGACAGTGATAGTTGGAAAGACAACACTTGGAAAAGTGTCCTGGGGGTGTTGTTTTTGAACTTTTTTTCCCTTTAAGGACTTAGTTCATAGAATTAATTTAACCTCACAAGAATAAGGGAAGAGGGGGGATCTGGTGCAGGGAGGATGGAGGAAGAGAGTACTGGGAGAGAACTGGAATGGTGGCGTGGGGGTGTGTGACTGTATCTAAGACTCCTAGCAATGGGAAATGTGGAGCTCGAACCCGCCATCTCCTGTAACCAGGCAAGACATCCAATGGAGGGACTGGAACATCAACCCAGTCACAAAATCTTTGGCCCACAATTTGTCCTGCCTACAAGATGTGCAGAGATAAAAGATGGAGCAACATTTGAGGGGAGGACAAACCAGTAACGGGCCCCACTTGAGACTCATGCCATGAGAGGGAGCCCACCCCGACACTATTAATAATATTCTGCTATACTTGAAGACAGAAGCCTAGCATAACTGTTATCAGAGAGGTTTCACCCAGCAACTGCCGGGACAGATACTGAGACCCACAGCCAAACATTAAGTGGAGCTTGGGGAATCCTGTGGAAGAGGGCAAGGAAGGACTGTGGGAGCCAGAGGGGGTCAAGGACACTACAAGAAAACCTACAGAGTCAACTAGCCTGGGCCCTCGGAGGCTCATAAATACTGAACTGTCAACCAGAAAGCATGCATGGAATGGACTTAGGCCCTCTGCACATATGTAAGAGTTGTGCAGCTGGGTCTTCTGTAGCTGGCATTAGCTACTTTGTGGGTTCTTTTTCCTTCTACCCTTCTCCACCTCTTTTCTATCTTGTCGTTCCCTTAATGTTAAATGGGAAATAAAACGGATATCGGAGAAAGGGTACAGCCTTATCGTTAGACTACTTCCTGCTGATTAGGGGCATTGAATTCCTTGGGGGCAAATTTGATCTTCACCCTCAGGCTATCTAATTTTTTATTGCTGTTTCTTTTTAGCACGTGGCTATTTAATAAACCTCAATCGACTAACAACCCACCCCACTTCTTGGGCTCTTACATTTACATACCCTCTGAAAGGTCCCCAGAATTCCAGACATCACACAAATTATCTGCCACTGGTAAAATCATGCCCCTGCTAGAGCATGAGGCAAGGCATCATCAGCTGCTGGGGACAGTCTGAAGCAGTCCCAAATCCCATACCTGGGATTAAAACAAAAAATATATTCTTATAATATCTCTGTGCTTTTGAAAGAAATCAAAATTTCAAAATTGTCACTACAGTCTTCATATGGGACTCCTTTTTTTCTCCAAAGATTTATTTATTTTATGTATATGAGTACATTACTGCTATCTTCAAACACACCAGATCCCATTGCAAATGGTTGTGAGCCACCATGTGTTTGCTGGGAATTGAACTCAGGACCTCTGGAAGAGCAGTCAGTGCTCTTAACCGCTGAGCCATCTCTCCAGCGCCCATATGGAACTCCTAACAGCAGGAGCAGGGGCTATCTCTGACTACATTGAATGCCTTTGGATCTCTTTTCCCTAACCGAGCTGCCTTGTCTAGCCTCAGTAGAAGATTTGCCTAGCCCTACTCCAACTTGATATGCCAAGGCAGGCTGATATCCATGGGAGACCTCTCCATTTCTGAGGAGGAAGGGTGGATGGGGGGAGTAGAGAGGGGCTGAGAGGAGAAGAGGGAGGGGAATCTTCCACTGGGATGTAAAGTAGATAAATATTCAATAAAAAAGAATATAAGAATTTTTCAAAAAGTAGAGGTAGAAGTACTGCTGAGGAGTTAACCTGAGAACCCCAATTTTTCACTCCACACTGTCTTCCTCTCTCTGAGTTCTAGACTTCTGAAGAGTCCTGAATCCCAGACCTTACACTGTGAATACGAGGAAGCTTGTCTTCCATGTGCATGTGAAGATTTACTCATTTCAGTCTTGGTACAGGAATGGGTACATGGTCTAGGTACTGAGGTGGCTCTGCTCAAGGGCTACACCTACAAATCCAAATCCACGGTAGGGAATCACAGGTGGCGGTTAGAGACCCAAGAGTAAGCTTATGAGTCTAAGGCTAGAAGTGAACAACCTAGAACGAGAGGAGATATCTGTGCTTTCCACACATGGTTCGAAGCTGCATTCTCTTAGTCTCAAAACATTACCACTCATAGATACAATCATACACACACTGGATGGCCGACCTGACACACTGAAATGGAAGTTTCAGGGAAAGTCAGGGTTTTAAGAGTGTGTTCTACGAAGGTGATGTTCACCTCCTAACTCTTCCTTTAAATCGAAAGTCTGTGAAAAGCCACGAGACAAAGGTGCCTGTGTGGAAAGCTGTGCTTTCTCATCCTTATTGCCATGATTTGTATAGGACATTGCTCTGGGGGAGTGTGTGTTATTTATAATAGCTTACATCTGTATATCCTTACCAATCTTTCAGAGTAATTGCCACCATTCACAATTCCATGAACACACATGCTCCTTGAGTTGAAATTTGCTACCCTACAGAGAAGTTCTCCCAAAGAGAATCCTTAATGGAATCGAAGAGTCACATGAGAGGGGGCTGCCCCAATGAACTGCCAATATAGGATTCAGGACTCACTCACTCACCTGTCCACTATGATGCCGTGAGGGATGAGCACACACTCCAAATCACCATAATAGTGCTGTGGGTACGTGAATAAATCCAAATCATATCCTGGCCAATTATCCAGAAGCTGTAAATCAAAGTAGTTTCATTATGGCATTTTTTCATTAACGATTTACTATTTAATGTAAATAACAAAATATTGTCACTTGGAAACAGAATAATGCTGAACACAGAGATTAGATTTACACACCTTGATAAATTAATATATCCCCTCAAGCTATGCTACGCTTAGTAGAGCAAGGTTATTGTCTATGCAACCTGATAAAACGGGTGAATACCAAATCAACAATATTCTCTACTCTGAACTGTCGTACAATAAAAGGGCAACCCTGATGTATCTTTTTAAAAAGTGATTTTATTGTCTTTGTTGATTCGTATGTGTACCTGCATGAGTTTATGTGTATTATACACATGCAGGTACTCTGAAAGGCCAGCACATAGGCCAGAGAGCATCAGATCCCCTGGAAATGGAATTACAGGTAATTGTCAACCATTTGATATAGGTGCTGAGAATCGAACCTGGGCCCTCTGCAAGAGCAGTCAGTGCTCTTACCTACCCACTGTGGATTGCTGTCTATATGCAGGTGAGGGCAGGCACAAGATAAGGTGAGAGCCTGTGATTGGGCAGTGCAAAAGGAAGGTAGGCTGAGAACTTTAGAGGTCAGGACAGAGAGACAGAGAGGAGAGAAGAAGGGAAGGAAAGGAGGAGACAAAATGGAACCTATAGGAGAGGAAGAGGAGCCAGAACCTCACAGTCCTGGGAGCCATAAGTATTGGGGATGTCTTAGATGATTAAATAATAGCAGGGTGCGTTTGCCCCATCTGGGGGTGTAGCTTGTGTTTATATCAATTGAGTTTTGAGTTCATTGTGTGAGTGTTTTGTAAGTTGAGAATTTACTAATATAAATCTGACTGATAAATCATAAGCCTTGAGAGTTTTGATTTTACCAGGGCTGGGAATGGGAGAGAATCCTCAGCAAGAGAACCATGAGATGGGAGGTTGCTGCATGGGGCTAGCCATAGAGGCAGCAAGACCACTGGGGCAGAGAGAAGCCAGCATTAGTGTGGGATGGTGCCTCTTTTAATATTTCCCGCTATACCTAGCCACCTCTCCAGCCCACAAACTCACCAGCTTTACCTAACCTGATAGAAAATCATATAGAAGATTGTGTTTATATAAACACTATGCAGGCGCCGCTCAATAACAGTGTCCAGCATGCCTGAAGCCATAAGCTCAGTCTCTGGCAGTATAAAAAAAGGATGTAAGTATAAGCAGTATATACTTTGTATGTATATTATAAAAATATTATGACATCATTGTTACACATGCATAATTGTATAATATACAGTATTATGATATATTCTGAATTTCTATTTACCATAAATGCTTCATCTTCCTGGGAAGGTTTACCTATGAAAAGTATATCCTGAGATTACAATAAACTCAGACTTCTGGGTGCCCTCGCCGGTGCAGTAAAGACTAAAAAAGGGATGTTCTTTGAAAGGAACTTCAGCAAGTCATCGTTAAGATGTTGAGACCCAAGAAAATGGTCCTGTTCACAGAACACAGACTACTAGCCACCCTTTCTCTTGCTTAAGATTTACAGACATGTTTTCTGGTTAGACTAAGAACAAGATGTTGAAGAAAATGACAGTAAAAGTTACTTTCCCTTCACATAGACAAAAAGGATGCAATAGTGAAAACCTTGTCTATGAAAATCTTTCTGTAGCTATTTTAGCTCTTGTTATTTGATCATTTTTCCACACCTTCATAATTACTGTGTCCAGGTTTGAGCCATGGAGGGTTTTTATAACATAGACCCAGCCTGATCTTCTAGTTCATTTATACATACATCTAGTCCCTGCTCTCACTTTGCTTTCCAGTCTAGACATGATTTGGCATGTGCATACATGTAATATTAAGTATCTGAGCATTTCATTGTAGCAGTGAGTTTGTGCTACACTCTTTTGGCTTCCAGCACACACTTCCAGCCACCTGCCCAGGAGCTATCTGGATTCAAGAATGAAAGACACGCACGCACGCACGGATGCCATTAATTTTAAAATGCCTTGGCTACCCCAAAGGCTGGAAACTTCTAATCCTCTACCTGCTACCCTAGGCCCAATCAGGGAAGTAACCAGTGGCTACCTACCTAAAATCGCACATGGCTGGTTGGCTTTCTCTCATGTAGCTCCTATGTCCCATCCTTCTTCCCTGAGTCATAGCAATTCTCTGTCTCCTTTTTCCAAGTTCCTTGCCTGTGCAAATCTAAAGGTTCTGCCCTGTCTCTTTTTGTCCAGCCATTAGCCACTGGCATCTTTATTGATCAATCAAAAACCAACTGGGGACAAGGACCTTCAGCGTTTGAACATGCAGATTCCCGACTGAATCAAAGCATTAGAACCAATCTCCAACATTTATAGTGCATGCAATGTATTCTGATCATATTTAGCCTGCCTCCTCCTCCTTGCTTCTTAAAGATTGATTATCTATCACTGCTTCCAAGTCCATGTCCTTCATTTTTCTAAAAATCCCAGTGAGTCCAATTTGTGTTGCTCCTATACTAGTGGGTGTTGGCTCATCATGGAATGGAGCATCAGATCTACCAGATGCTACACCCTTAGAAAAGAAACCTGACTCTTGTTCCCCCAGAAGCCACTAGTGGTCACTAGGGTTGGTGCGTATGAAGCCTTCTCCAAGCTAAAATGCTGACTGAATTGTTCTTGTACAGGTCATGTGCAGGTAACTGCAGACACTGAATTTATGACTGCAGTGGTCCTGTCTTGTACAAAGGATGGTGTTGTCCTCTGGTTCTCCTTGACCTCTGGCCCTTATACTCTTTCTGCTCTCTCTTCTGAGATGGTTTCTGAGCCTTAGGGGGAAGGGTGTGATAACAGATGTCCTGTTTATGGATGAGCACTCCAGCTACTTATTCTCTGTCCTTTGGGAATCTCTGCATTAATGGGCATCCAGTGCACAAAATCTTCTTTGATAAGGTCTGAGAGCGACACTAATCTATTCAGTACTGTGTCCTACGAGCTCCCAAACCATAGGTTTAGGGCCATATTTGTAGCACCAGGCATGTGTTTCTATGGTGCAGGTCTCAAATCCAATCAGGAAGCAGTGGTTGCCCTCATGGCATTCAGTCTACTTGGATACTTATAGGTGTGTCTTGTTGTGCCAATCATTCTAGCTCACAGGGCATAGCATCTTCCAGTAATAAGAAAACTAGCTACCAGGAAGGAAGCTTCTCAGTTAATACCAATTTGACTTTTCCATGTCTCATGATCAAACTGTGTGATATTCTCAGCAATAGGTTCTGGTGGCCAGCCAAGAGCAATGGCAAAAGCCTGTATTTTGTTTCGGGGATTTCTAGGACACCTAACTCTTCCAGGCTTCCACTCCCTTCATTTGTCTTACACAGTGCTCTTGTTTCTACTCCCTCTGTCTCTATGCCAAAGTTCACCTCCCCCTTGGAAGGCCAGGTCAATCCCACTTCTTTCTGGAAGCCTCAGTAACTGCTCTCACATCGTGCTCCTCTTGCCTATTCCCCTGGTGTTGCCTGCAGCTCTGGCTCAGCAAAGGCTTCACCCGGGATCTTTGGGAACATTTCCACACCTTCCATTCATTCACATGCTCTGTCTCATCTGTTCACTTCTAGATTAGAGTCCATTCCCAGCCGCTGAATCTTATACCAAAGACATCCTCCACCCGATTCCCACTCTCCTCTGCACGAAGGGGCTCCAGTTTTAGAAAGGAGATTTTAAGATAGAATGCAAGCCACTCTCATCCTAATTTTGGTCTCTAGCCAGACCAAACTCATGTTATTTCTCCTCAAATTTAAACCTTCCCTACCTGAGGTAAGGATAGCACTTTCTTCTGTTTCTTCAGATTAAAACCTTGGCATTGGCTTTTTTCGTACTTTAATCTTCGTGCCACTCAGCAGATCATCCTGTACCCAATTCCCTCCCAATGTGAGCAGAACCACACCTGAGCAACTTCCACTGTTCCCTCTCCACCCTCATCTGGGTCTCCGCCACCCTCATTTCATCCAGGACTACTGCAGAAATGCCAACCCTGGTCTTGCTTCTCCCAACATGGCAGCTGTAGTGACTTTTGAGGATTGTCCTCTCATCATGACAGTCTCTGGCTCAAATGTTCTTAAGGGCTTCTCATTTCATGTCGAGTAAAACCTACAGTCCTCACAGAAGCCTACAAGAATCTCTCTCTCTTGATTGCCTGGTACTTTCTCCTTTACTCTGTTCTAGCCATTTTTCTCCTGGATGATCGAATCTCCTGACAATTGTTTAGGGTTTTGATATGTCCTTAGCTGGAAATATTTCCAGCAAATGAGCATGGGGCTTGTGTATTCTTTTTCTCCAGTCTTCATTCAATGTCACCTTCACAGAGAGGCCTTTCTTACTATAAATATAAACCAGCACTCTCCTTCTTCCCCATCCCATTGCTGTATCCTTCACATCTAACTTCCCTTTCCTTCATAGCATGTATGACTACTAGATTTGTGTGAATGTGCATAGATGAGTGTGTGTGTGCATGTGTGAGTGTGTGTGCGTGTGTGAGTGTGTGTGCATGTGTGAGTGTGTGTGCATGTGTGAGTGTGTGTGCATGTGTGTATAAGACTGTGTGCATATGAGTGAGGGTGTGTGTGTGTGTTTCTGTCTGTCTGTTCCCACTGGAATATGAGCTACTTGGGGCAGAGATTTTATCTTACTTTCTGTTCAGTCCCTCATGCCCAGAGCACTGACCTGAGACCTGGTAAGTACTAAAAAGATGTTCAACAGTCAAAGAAATGAGATAGTCATTACCTCTGAACTCTAACCTTGACGCTCAGTTTGTCAGCTTGTGATAGAAATGACTACTGTTCAAAGCTCTGGAGATTCATAGCTGTCCCACTGGCCAAGGAGTATGCATCATCTGCATAGTCAAAAAGTGTCATAGTTATTGAACCTCCACCAGCAAGCTGGCTGGTGTGACTGGTGAATTTGTATGGAGCAACTCTGGTTCCCACCCAGTAAATTCCAGGAGCCTGCTGTAAGCAGAGTGGC